TATAAAATAATTTAAAAATATATAAATAATTAATTTTAAATTAAAAAATAAATCTTCTAAAATTAGGCGTTTGACTCGCGTTCCGAATAAGAAGGGGAACTCTTGCCCCACGTGTCAACATATTAATGCCTTGGGAGCACATGAGCAACTTGTACGGCACAGACAGAGTGGAAATGACAGGTAGCTACTTCACCTCACAATCACAACTCACACAAGACATGACCAAAAGAATCCACAATCATGCACATCTCCAGGTCCACATAAAAGGTTGCATGTGCCAATCAAGCCTTGCAAAAAAAGATGTCAATTGCAAACGCATACATCTATCTTTACTTGTACTCTTGTCAGAAATTAAGTCGTTTGCAGGACAGAAGGCGCACATAGAAAAGAGTTACTTCAGCAAGCGAGTGATTTATCACGGAAGCTAGCATTTCTCGTGGTCCTCTTGACGTGCTTGGAGCTGCCGATTGGAGTGATAGAGTAGGTTTTCAGACAGTGGTTGGTGGTTAGTTTAAACAAGCCCATCTCTAGATAATCACATGTGTTGCTATTGGACCACACAATTACACCTTACCTCTTCCCCTTTGTACTTCAAGGCTCTTCGTAATCTGTTTCTTTGGGGATGGTTTTGGATATCATCATTGCATTTAGAGATTGTTTAGGAGTGTAATATAGGTTATTTTTAGTGTAATATAGATTATTTTTAAAAAATATTTTTTTATTTATAGATATATTAAAATGATATATTTTTTATTTTTAAAAATTATTCTTGATATTAATACATTAAAATAATATAAAAATATCAAAAAATATTAATTTAAAATAAAAAATTAAAATTTCTTTAAAAATATTTTTAAAACACGATACCAAATATAAACTCAAAATCATGTCCCTTTTGTCCTAAACATCCCATTTGCCATTCATTTTTTTTTTGTAAAAAATTTCTTTAAAAATATTTTTAAAACACAATACCAAACATGAACTCAAAATCATGTCCTTTTTGTCTTAAACATCGCATTTGCCATTTCATTTTTTTTTGTACGAAACAATTTAATCTTTTTTTGTTTTAGTGATGTGATGTCACAATTCCTCTTATTTCAATAATTATAATTTGAAATTTTTAGAATAGTTTAATTGATTAGATTTTAAGTTTGTTTTTTAGTGATTATAAATTTGAATTTTTTCAAAGTTATTGAGTTTGTTTTATAATATCACGAGACTATTTAAAATTTATGTAATGATCAATTTTAAAAATTATAAAATTAATTAATTAAAAAATATATATATATATTTATGTTAATAAAAGAAATCATGATTTGATGTCTTAATTGTTAATTATTTAAAAACTACGCTAGTAATTTACAAAAATTACTAGTGTTTAGAAGCTATATTTAATTGATTTCTGATTTCCCTGCAGCTTGCCTGTGATAACATAAAATTATAACTTTATCTTTAATGTTAATGATATTTTTTTATTTTAAAAAAATTATTTTTAAAATTAACATATCAAAATAATTCAAAATATATAAATTATATTAAATTTTAATAAAAAAATAAATTTTTAGAAACACAGAGTTAATCGTGTTCCAAATGATTCCTAACTTGCTCTGCCTACCTGACAGTATGGACTGAGTAGATGGTTGAATTCTATGACGATGTATTGCCAAACTGTCAGACATTCCTGCGCGTGTCCAGACAAGATAACACCAGAGACGATTGCGCATTTTGCTTTTCATCGACGTAATTATTCTTGATTTTTATGTTTCAATGCGGACAAGAATAGGAATTGCCACCTGAATGCTCCCATGATCGTAGATATTATTCGAGTAATTGATTGTTTTAAATTATATTTGATGTTGTTTTATAAAAATATTTTGTATTTAAAAATATATTAAAATAATTTTTAAATTATATTAAATTGATGTCAGAATTAAAATTATATTAAATGTTAATTCTAACAAGACAGAAAATTTGTCAATATATTCCAACCATACTTTATCTATTATTCAAAATAGTAAAAGATAACAGATTTTAAATAAATAAATTGCAATTTTATTATTGCGGGCTTCAATTACAGAAAATCTATTGACATATCCTAACCATGATTTGATTTTATATACTCAGTTATATGCTCATAGCATATGCCAAATTTTTGTTTTAATTACATTGCAAGTATAAAGATTGCTAGTCTAATTTTTAAACAGCAACCATGACTAAATTATAATATACTCCATAAATTCTATTATGGCTTCTTAGTTATGTTTCTCATCTTTTTTTCTTCGTAACCTCTTTACTGAAGTTACTGGTTCCATGACCAAATGGTATGCCCGGAAATAAAAGCCCACGGCACTTATTGAACAATGCAACAGGTTATCAATTTTGTTTATTTTAGATTGGTTAGTGTATTTTTTAAAAATTATTTTAAATTCATAGTTTAAGTTATTATATTAAATTTTAAAATATAATTGATTTATATTAGAGGTGATTATTTTATGTTAAATTCAATTTTTATATAAAAAAAAACCAAGCTAATATTTTTAAAAATATAAAATCGGTTATAGTTCAGTTAAATTATTTTATATTAAAAACTAAAAACTATATTATTTTTTGATATTGTTTTTATAATTTTTAATGGATTTGATTTCAGTTTAGTTTGGTTTTTCAGATTTAATTCAGTTTTTTTTGTTCGGTTTTCTTAGTTTCAAGTTTGTAAAATTGAATGGAATTGGTCGTTTTTTAAATTCTAATTAGTTTGATTATTTTTTCATTGTTTTTTTTTTAAGTTTTTTCTTGTTTGATTATTTTTTCATTGTTTTTTTTTTTAAGTTTTTTCTTATTTTTTTGGTTTAATTAGTTTTTTAATTTTTTTACTCACCTCTAATTTATATTATTTTTTTACACACTCCCTCAGGTGAGGACCCTACTCACTCCTGATTTATATTATTTTCTAACACATCTTCTCATGTGAGAAATCTTTAGACTTGAAATCTGAATAAACTTACACTATATTATGCTTAATTTTTATCAAGTAAATATTGATTGTAAGATTTAAACTCGTGACTGCTTGATCATTAAAACTCTAATGCCATATCAAATGACCATCCCAACCCAATAACTTCAGTTGTTATGTAGTGACCTTAAATATAATTTATATTATTCTGTAGCATATATCCTATTTTAGTTAAAATAAATAAATAAATTAAAATAAATTCCAACTCGCTTAAAATCTTAGACAGTTCTAGAAATTTCGTTTGTAATGTTCTAGATATGTTCTAGCTAAATAATATTTTGTTTTTTAGTTTATTTTAAGAAAAATATATAGTTTTTCTTTAATTTCCTCCCATGCATCATGATCAATATCACGAGCTTCACGGGTTAATCTAGTTGACTTAAAATTTTTCAATTGTCTATTTTCAATTAATTTTTTTCTCCAGCTTTGTCATTCAATAACTTTGACATTTGACTGATTATTAATTAAGTTTTTTTAATTTTTTTAATTTTATTATCGAATCATCATAATCTTGTGACCCGAATAACTAATTTAACGAGTTAATTCAAGTAGATTTGAGTTATTTTATTATGTCATTTTTTATTGATTCCATCACTTAACAACGAGTTTATTGGAAATCAAGTTTCATAATTTATTTTATTCTGGGTTATCATGAATTTCAAATTTTAGCTCGCTTTGACCCAAGTCGATCCATAATGTTATCATCTCATATTTTTTTTAAATAATATATTTTTAATTTTTTTTAGTGAAATTATATCTTTACTATTTATTTAGGTTGTTTTTGAATTCATCAAGTTGATCGAGTTATATCGGTTCAACTCTATTTTTTTATTTTTGTTTAAAAATTAAATTAAATAACTTAAAGTTAATTTATTTTTAAATTTAAATGATATCTGGTGAATATATATATATATATATATATATATATTCAGCAAATAAATATAAATAGTAAAAGCTCAAAACGGTACCCAGAACATTTTAAACATAACATTTTAATTGAAAAAATATAACACCAGCTGGTAGAGAATTGAAACCTAGACTGACGCACACACGGTTATTACCGTGACCATGTTTTTTACCATGGAACCCGGGCAACTGGAGTCCAGATATTTGAGTAAAAAGTTAAAATCTCTAAAATCAGAGAGACTATACGAAACATCTACCAACACTGTATTAATTTATATTAAAAGTGCAGATAGATAATGATTATTAGCATTAATAATTTATAAGAATAAATAAATAAATAAAATCCCATGAAGAACATAAAAGCCATAATAATTTTTGGCTCATATCCATTTAAGCATGATGATAAATTTTCAAACAATGATAATTAATTAGATTCATGTTTATTAAGATTTGATATATAGTTGAATTTAATAATATTGGGTCTAAAAACAAGCTAGACTTATATTATTTAAGCCTAACATTTTTCCCTACATAATTATATTTATACTGAGTTAATATCTTTTTTAATAATGAATACTAGAATTAAAATTATATTTTAAAAATATATTTATCCATGATGAATAATTTGTTGCAATGTCCCGTTTAGTTTCAGGAATATGTCGAGAGAGGCTGCAAGCAAACGAGTACGAGAAACTTGAAAATTCATGTTCCATTGCGGTAATAATTAATAATAGTTATTGTATAGATATTATTAAGTTATAAAAACATGTGACAAAAATAAAAAGATAAAATCACATTTTATCCAGTTAGAACGATTATAGCATTTCAATTTACACTTAATTTTTTATTACATGTCGGTGATGCTTAACAATACTAAGAATAAGAATTATATGTTTAATAATTAATTAATTTTTTAGTTATAATAATTCGATATATTTTTCTAACTAAAAAACTGGTTAGTATTTGCAAAACTTCTATTTAATAAATATTTAAATAAATACTTATAATGAAAGAGAAAATCAGTGATATTATACAAGTAATATGATTTTTTTTTTATATATATATAATAATAAACCTTTCAACGAACACAACCGGGAATATCATATTGAAATAAGCAGCAGTGTCGGGAGTTTCGAAAATTTCCCAGAGACAGTAAGCTCATTGCCCTTTCCAGCTCTTGATTGTCCACGGGACGTGGATTATACTAGAACACGTTAAAAATATTGTTTATGCCGTGGAAAATGTGCCATGGCTTGCTCTTATCCTGGAGTGCGGGCTTCTCTTGGAGTATGGTATGGATTATATTTTAAAATATATTAAAATAATATTTATTTATTTTTACAAATTTATCTTTAACATTAATATATAAAAATAATTTAAAAGTACTAGAAAAAATAATTAATTTTTTTGATGAACAGGGTTTTGGCCGTATTAACAAACACCCGTTTGATAACTTGCCCATATATATGTATGTATATACATCCTTTATTTTCTTATAATATTCCTTTTCTTTCACCATCGAATCCTCTTATTCATGACATCACGACACGAAATATTATCCACTCCGTAAGGTGACACCGTAAGGTGACAAGTCGTCATGTTGCAGTCCCTCCATTTAACATATATAATAACTAGATCACTGCCTGATTAGCAAGCCCTAAAAAAGGGTTGGTGTTAAATTACAAGTAACCTACATGATACCCAAGCCACGGATGACGAAAAGATGTGAGCTCCACGAAGCCAGCGGGACAAAAATAAAATATATAAAAAAATAAAGTTGATCAATCCTTCCCAGTAACATTTAAGTCAATTAGAAAAGTGAATGGCTGTCCGCAGTCTGGATTTATTTATTTATTATTTATATTAAAAAAATTAAATATTCATGGATTAATACCTATTTAAAAATTACTCGCCCATCTATTCAGATAGAGTCGGTATTTGTTAGGTCTGGATTAAATTATCATCATTATAAAATCAATCTTTATAATAATTATTTTTTAAAATATTTTTTATTTAAAAATATATTAAATAATATTTTTTTAATTTTAATAAAAAATTAAAAAATAATTTAAAACAATTCTTTTAAAAAAAACCTACCAAACACATAAAAAAATCAGCCGAAGTCAACCACTAAAGTCCCTCCCATCCTGTTTTAAATATCTATAATTAATTATTTTGTTTGTTTCACTGGTTAAACTCTGATTAGCGATTATTTGTCCGTTCTTGTGGCTCTCTAATTTGTCGTAATCATCATCTGGCTATAATTCCCGCTCATTTTTATTTCCTTAATTTCAAACTGTCCATGCTGCGCGGGTCCATCTTACCAATTTATACTTCCACGCGCCACCCTTGCCACGAATCCTACACAGTAAATATTTCTCACCCCCCGAGTAAAAAACACTGGATGGCACTGCTTCGCATCTGTAATATACTATTTTTGTCAAATGTAACCTCAAACTATAAAAACATGCAATTAAGTCCCTGGTCTCCGGCTTTGTCTATCCTTTCGTCTATTTTTGTGATTTGCCATTCGTCCTGTCAACAATTTTAAAAATCCAGGACTGATTCATAATTAGAACAAGAGACCGAATATACCCTTGAAATCATATAAATCATGTAAAAGTATAGCTAAAGGTTAGCTTTCATGGTGGCCTTGTCATCTTGTTTGACATGACTAGGATTAGTATGCAGTGGTGTTTGATTTTTTTAAAAATATTTTTTTATTTATATTGGTATATCATAATTATTAAAAGGTATTATTTTAGTATATTTTTAAAATAAAAATACTTTTTTAAATATATAAAAACATAATTAGAGACCATGCTGACCCTATTTTGATATTATTATTATTTTAATTAATACAAGTATTTGAGTTAATTTATACGCATCTCAACTAATCGTATAAACCTTAAAGTTAATAATTATATAAATTTTTAATCATTTTAAAATCTGTAAGACTTGAATTGATAATTTTTAGAAATAAATTCAAAATTTAACAAATTATTTTAATTAATACAAGTATTTAAATTAATTTATATACACCTCGATTAATTCCATGAATCTTAAAGTTGATAATTATATAAATTTTTAATAATTTTAAAATTTATAAAATTTGAATTGATAATTTTTAGAAACAAACTCAAAATCTAACCAATTAAACTATATTTTTTAATATTCTAATTATATTATTATTATATAAACAAGATGCGGTCTAATATTATAATGAGGTCCATATCAATTTATTGATCGAGGATATAACAAAACCAATAGTCAACAATTGTTTGTCATTTCACAATGTTTAAATCAATTATTAAGATTATAGGTAGGTTTGCTATCAGTACCTTTGGATTTAACATTTGATAGCTGTATTTAATTTTATCTTTCATCCTGTATTTTTATTAGTTTTTAAAAATACCCACTCATATAAAAAAAATATGGCACGTTGAATTACGTGTCTACCTTACAATGATTTGAATAATACCATGAAATGTCATGATAAATTTTTACATGTTACATCAAAAAAAGGAAATAACAATTTTCTTTGGATGAATTGCTAAATCTTGAAAAATTAAAAGTGAGAAAAAATTGAATAATCACGTGAAAAAACATCCGTAATTGCAAATTTAAAGCCATATTTCTTCAATTAAAATATTTTTTTGTGACTAGTAAATTTAATTTATTTTTAATTTTGGATCTATATAAAAATAAAAAATTAAATAAATAAAATAATTTAAACAACTAAATCGACTTTATAAATCTAATAGAGTATATATTTGAATTATTTATAACTTGTACTGTGATTATAATTTTTTTAAAATATTTTTTATTTTGAGATGTATTAAAATAATATTTTTTAATTTATAAATTTTTTTGAAAATAAAAAAAATAATTTAAGATAAAAAATAAAATTGTTTTGTTAAAAAAAACAAATAGAATATTTTTTTCAAGTCCCTGATTGCAGAAGATTTAAATGCAGGCCCAATATGACAGAAAGACACACTACAAGGACGTAAAATGTCACCCAAACCTCAAAAAAACACAACGAAAATTTCAAAAAAAAATTTAAAATACATAAACCTATCGTTCTCAATCTGTCTCCCTCTCTCCCATGCTCACAGCAGAGCCTATTATAGAAATCAAAATCAACATCCAAACCCGCGCGCCCCACCCCCCCCTCCGGGCGCTCTGCAACTCTTTGTCTTCAAGTTGAAGAAACAGTCTCTCTCCGTTGCTTCTCTACTTTCATTCCTCTCTCCTCCTTCTTCACTTACTTAAAGTATCAAATCCATTAAAAAAAAAAAGACCACTCACAATGTTACTCCCTTTTTTTGCAGCAGATACCATGTGACCTTACCTACTCTCTCTCTCTCTCTCCCTCCACCGAGTCAGCTTCCCCTTGACGACTCACCGAGTCAACTCGACTCGACTCGACTCAACCCAACTCCACTTCAACTGAACTGAACATACATTTTTATTTTATTTTTCTCCCGGAATGGCGTCATCTTCCAGAGCGAGAAGCAGCTCTCCCTTCTCGTATCGAAAACCGTCAAGTCCTTACTCTTCAGCTTCTTCAACAACATCTTATAATAACAGGCTAATGCCACGTTCGTGCTCGACTTCTGCTTCTTCATTTTTCGGTTCGCGATCCGTGACGCCGAGTCGAGATCGGTCTGATTCAATGCACTACGGCCTCTCACACGGCGTCGGTGCTTATGATGGTAGTCTGAATCCGGTCGGGTTCGGGTCGGAGGAGTTGATTGCTGAACCGATTGATCAACCGAGGAATGGTGGTGATAGTATTTCGGTAACGATTCGGTTTAGACCGTTGAGGTAATGGTAGATCTGAGGGCACCAGATCAGATCTTGAATCGAGTTTGTAATTTGAATTTTCCAGGGTTAAGTATCCTGATTGGGATGTGTTTGAATGCAGTGAAAGGGAGTTTCAGAGAGGAGATGAAATAGCATGGTCAGCGGATGGAGATAAGATTGTTAGGAACGAGTATAATCCAGCTACTGCTTATGCATTTGGTAATCAATTATTGAATTTGAATTTCTTAATTAATTGAGTTAAATGAAAATGTAAATGTAAATGCGAATTTATTTGTATTGGCAGATAAGGTGTTTGGACCGCACACAGCCTCTCAAGAGGTGTATGAGGTTGCCGCAAAACCTGTGGTCAAGGCTGCAATGGAGGGTGTTAATGGTATGGTATTGATCGAGATTTGACAATCAAGTAGCATTTGTTTATTCTAGTAGTTGTGTTTGATTAATCAATGTTCATTAATTTCGAGTTTTTCTCTGACAATGCAGGGACTGTTTTTGCATATGGTGTTACTAGTAGTGGAAAGACACATACTATGCATGTAAGATTAGTTCCTCCCTGTAACTTTACCTTGGTGCAGTTTTTGTTTGGAGATTTACTCCAAATCTCCCAGGATAGTAAAAGCTGATTATGATTGTAGTTATGAATAATTGAAATTCTCAAGATTACCCCTATAGTGATTGTTTATGGTAGTGCAGGCAAAGTGCTTTGCTGATATTTTGTTTGCATCAGAAGAGCATTTTATTGTATGAGAAGTCTATGGTGATCCATTTTATTGATGACTCCTTTTTTGTATATCGCAACTCCTCACTCTACTAGATCTTACTTTGTTATTTGCAAAAGCTATAACCATATAGAACGCTTAGAGTGCAATGATTTGATGATCTGTTGAGGAGTATTACTGAGGAAACTGAAAGGTGTTGGTCATTTTAAAGTTTCCTTTGTATGAAATACAAATACTCTCAGTTGTTGCTTCCACAGGTTCTCCCATGGTTTCCCTCTTTCTCTTATAGCCATATCTATGACTTCATTTCATGCTCAAACCTGTTTCATTTGATGCTCAAACATGTTTATCCATCTTTTTATATCCAGGAATTAGGATCACATTACTGAAGTATTTTCAGAGACATGGCAGTTTCATCCTGCACTGTAATTTATCACTGAAGTTGATTCTTTTGTTATGTATTATGTGGCACATGTGTAAACATCTCTATCTTTATGTTTTCCTTTTCTTCTGGCTAGCTTTACTTGTTTTAGTTCGTTATTGCTAACAAGTTTTCAGCTCTGTTGTTTTTGACTTGTTTCTCATAATCATAAATGCAGGGAGACCAAAATTCTCCTGGCATTATACCACTTGCCATAAAGGATGTTTTCAGTAACATCCAAGATGTAAGTGTTTCAAAAATACTCTACTCAATATATTCTCTGCAATGCTGGTTAGCTGTGTATTGCTTGGCTTTTATCATCCAAGCATCTGAATGTGTATGCATGCATGTGGGTGGTTAACACTGTCATTACACTTAAATATAGATAGGTGTTATTGTAAACCTATGTTGTTTGTTTGTTTTCCCCTATATTTAATCTTTTCAATTATCTACCTCTTGATCAAGTATGGATGACACTGCTTTCTCACTTCAGACTCCAGGAAGAGAGTTCCTACTACGCGTGTCCTATCTTGAAATTTACAATGAGGTTAGAGTCACTATACTATAAATTTGAGAAACAGCACTTGAGTGTACCCACAACAAGTTGAAACTATCATTGCCATCTTAGTGAAAGTTGTCTGATTTATGCTTTGACTTATGCTTCTGATATCAGGTGATAAATGACTTGCTTGATCCAACAGGTCAAAATTTACGTGTCAGGGAAGATGCACAGGTGTTGTGCTTAGCTTTTATGGATTTGCTTAAAAAGCTTTGTAGTGTTAACTTTCTTACCATGAAAAAAATTATTATTTAATGGATCTAATATATTAGTTTACAAATACTTGTACTAAGTTTTCCAGGGCACCTATGTTGAGGGTATAAAGGAAGAAGTGGTTTTATCTCCTGGGCATGCACTTTCTTTCATTGCTGCTGGAGAAGGTACCCTGTATATGCATACCTATTTGATATTTTCCTGTGTGTTGCAAGCAAGCATACTCCTAAGTTTTTGATTGGTATTTGGTATTGCAGAGCATCGCCATGTTGGTTCAAATAATTTTAATCTGTTCAGCAGCCGAAGTCACACCATATTCACTCTGGTAAATAGTCCATAAGCTGATGAAATTGAGCATTCTGATAATAGTTAGCATTTTTTATACATTTTTATGGAGTATATATATATCAAACTATTGGTCGGAAGTAGTCATATCTTAGCCTTCACCACCTCAATAGGTGCATCATCTACTTCACATTCTTGTCATTTTTTATTCTTGTCATTTCGACCTTAGTTACTCTGATGCTGTGCCTTTCACAGAAGATTTTTTTTTTATATTTCATTTTTTTTTCTAATTCACTAGTATGCCTATGCATTTGCAGATGATAGAAAGTAGTGCCCATGGAGATGAATACGACGGAGTGATTTTCTCTCAACTTGTATGTTGCATTGAATTGATACTATCAGGAAAAAAACATTGATTCTTCTTAGCTGCATGGCTCATATTCTTCTCTTTTATGTCTCTTCGTAGAATTTGATTGATCTAGCTGGATCTGAGAGTTCCAAAACTGAAACAACTGGAATAAGGAGAAAGGAAGGATCTTACATAAACAAAAGCCTTCTAACTCTTGGAACTGTATGTACCTGTAATTTTATATGCAATCATCTACCATGTTTTTCATTTTATTTGTATTTGTCTACCAGAAACTGCTTGCAGAATAAACAAGTCAAAGCCTTCAGATACATGCAATAATTGCATAAAATGTGGTTGATTATCTGATGATTTATGAGACCACCTCGAGGATGGTAGAAAGTGTTTTTGGGACATCAAGCTTATCTCAAACATGAGTCAATGAATGAACTCACAATGCTCCTCTGTGTGCGTGCTGAGTCTGTTGACACTTAAAGTGCAACTACTGACTTTCTTCATTAAGAGGATGTTGAGACTTTTAAGCTTCTGAATGTTTAGATGTACATGGCCATATCATTTCAATGTCTGTAGTTGACTACATGGTTCCTTTTTAAAGGTGATTGGAAAGCTGAGCGAAGGAAGGGCATCTCATGTTCCATATAGAGATTCCAAACTTACACGCCTTTTGCAGTCTTCGTTGAGCGGGCATGGGCATGTTTCGGTGAGTTTGAGATATAAAAAGCATGCTATTTGTGGTCAACAAGTATACAAAATTCTACTTTGTCGTTGAAGATCATGTAATTCACTGAACATACAAGATCATTGAATGATCCATTGTGCTGTTGCGCATTGAATTGTGTATAATCTTCTAGAAACGTTTAATTTTCACATTCTCATTCCCTTTCTTTCTTTTTGATTATGGAGTAAAGGTTTTACAAGTGACTGACTATACATATTCAATTACTCCTCGCCAAATTCCATTGCCTCACATATATATATATATTCTTTCTTGCCTAAACCAATGCACAGCTTATTTGTACCGTCACTCCTGCATCAAGTAACATGGAAGAAACTCATAATACATTGAAGTTTGCTAGCAGGGCAAAGCGGGTTGAAATATATGCTTCACGCAATAAGGTGCAATATGAACTTAGCTTATGATATTATTCATCAACAACAATATAATTTAATCTAAAAGGTGACTTAACCTAATTTTGAAATGATTTAACTTCCAGATTATTGATGAGAAGTCTTTGATCAAGAAATATCAGAAAGAAATCTCAAGCCTCAAGCAGGAACTTGATCAATTAAGACAGGGGATGCTTGCTGGTGTTAGCCATGAGGAGATTATGAGCTTAAGGCAAAAGGTTTTGAAATTTTTTCTTGTTTTCTTCTTTTGAATATTGTTGTGCTGTTTTCATTTTATGGTTTTATTGCCACTGACAAACCATTCTTTGTTTTCCATTGAATAGTTGGAGGAAGGTCAGGTGAAGATGCAATCAAGGCTTGAGGAAGAAGAAGAAGCCAAGGCTGCTCTAATGAGTAGGATTCAGAGGCTAACTAAACTCATACTTGTCTCTACAAAGAATACGATTCCTGGATTGACTGATGTTCCAGGTCACCAGCCGATTCATTCTGTTGGGGAGGATGATGTGAGTTCTTTTCCCATCTGTTTTGCACACAAAAGCATGGTCTGCTAACTTTTGTTATTACCTAATTCCAAACTGGTCCTGGAATTTGAATATTTAAATATGAATGACATCTGTTGGGGTTTGAGCTATGGTTGTATTAGTGGAATGTAATAGTTATAATGTGAATCTGGACAATCTTTGGGTAATGTTTAGTTTTAAAATTTGTAAAGTGATTCCGTGTTTTCTTAATACCTTTTATTGTCATTCTGTACTTTTGTATTTTCTAAATGCTTGACTTCTCCAAAAAGGCTCCCCCTTATTATTCTAATGCCCCACTACTGATCTGTCTTGTAGTTTTTTTTGGCTTTGCAATGGTTTCTTTCTATAAGATACACCCTTTGTTTAGTTTTACTAAATTTCCTTTTGGGCTGCATTCTTTTTCTTATTTTTCCATTTGGACAATTGAAGTGTGATTTTTAAGTATTTTTTTGGTCAGAAATTGGATGTTTTGCGAGAAGGTGCTTTACTTGCAGAAAATGAGAATCAAAAGGACTCTCCATCTTCTTCTTCTTTGATAGCATCGGATCTAACTTACGAATTTAAACATAGAAGATCTTCCAGTATGTGGAATGAAGAACTCTCACCAGCTAGCAGTACTGTTACTGAATCGACTCAATCATATGAAGTTATGGGTACTTCAAAACTGGCACCAGTAAGTTATGCTAATATTTCTCTCCGGTGCTCACCCCTAGGATATAATACCAAGTAAATTTTCCCTTCAGAAAGAATCCAAAACTCACTCCTCTCACCCTCTCTTTCTCATATTGGACCCTCATGTTCTTGGATTTGTCAGATTTGTCAGATTTTCTCTATGTTTTTTGCTTCCATCTCCTTTTATTATTGAATCGGAAAAACCCAAGTCTCCCTTTTGCTGATTAGCACATTCATACCACAAATGCCATGTCAATCTAACATTTTTATGCCTTATTATGTCCTGGTGGCAATCCTTCCTTTGGGTGACCAGACCAAAATTTTCATATTTTTATCAGTTACAGGTTTTCTAAAGAATTGTTAAGTTGACAGAAATGTGTTATTTCTAGGGCGGGATGACCCAAGACCAGATGGACCTTCTTGTGGAGCAGGTTAAGATGCTTGCTGGAGAGATTGCATTCAGCACTAGTACCCTGAAGCGCCTGGTGGAGCATTCTGTAAATGATCCTGATAGCTCAAAAACTCAAGTATGCTTCTCTTCTCTTGCAAAACTTTATGGTTGCTTGTGTTTAAAAATTAACTTCAAAAAGAGATGCAAGGCTATGATGATACTCTATTCAACATATCAAATAGATTGCAAGTTAGCATTGTTGTAGACCCCTCATCACTCAGTGGTGCTGGAGCCAATTCGAGATTATGTAGCTGCTGTGATTTTAAATTTTATTCGACTCCAAAGGATGTGTTTGATGCTTATCACATACTAAATGATTCATGTTCTTCTTTTGCATGGTATAGAAGGCAGTAGCTGGGAAAAACACCCTCCCCCCCTGCTTCCTTTCTGTTTTTTCACTGCCAATAATTGATTGTTATATCAATTAAAAGATCAGAAAACAGAAGTTTTCCATTGTGGATTGCCTTAATTTTTATAATCCAACATGTCCAATATGGCAGTTATATTTACCTGAATAGAGCTATGTGAGTGTTCATATTTTTGCCTAAAGCTCTGTTTTTCAACCATAGATCCAGAACTTGGAGCGAGAGATCCAGGAAAAGAAGAGGCAAATGAGAGTTTTAGAACAGCGCATTATTGAGAGTGGTGAGGCTTCAATTGCTAATGCCTCAATGGTTGATATGCAGCAGGTTGTTTCGCTTTCTTCTACTTTTCCCTTTTTCTTCTTCTTCTCTCGTGTATTCTTTCATTTTATCTTTTTTTTAGATAATAATAGCTCAACTATTTTGATTGCAATTGTGCTGGAACAGACAGTAATGAGATTGATGACCCAATGTAATGAAAAGGCTTTTGAGCTGGAGGTGAGCACTTCATATCACAATACTGTTGAAAATTTATCAAGGCTTGTGTATTCACCTATCATTCTAGTGTCACGTTAAAACCAAATGGAGGCAGGCACTTATGTATCCTTAGGTAAACAATAATTGGCTCCTTGGCAAGTATGCCATTCAGAAAAGTTCAGATCCATAAATATCATTCTGAGAATCTCTCAACATCACAATCTGCAGTGTATTTTTTTTTTTGGTAGAAAGAGGAATCCTTTTATAATGAAACTCCCATCTGCCTTTGTCTTAAACTAGTAAATATCCCGAGGAACCAATTCACAAAGTATGTCTCCAGTTGTATATTAGTTTCAATTATCTCTAGTTGGGATGGTGCTCCAACTTGCATAGATTGTAATTTTCCTTCCAATGAAATGATTTTGATTTGTTTGCAGATAAAATCAGCTGACAACCGTATTCTCCAAGAACAGCTTCAGAATAAGGTTTGACTGCCACCCCCCATCTCATTTTTCCTCTTATTTTTTTGTTCTTTTCATTTTCTTTCATCCTGCCACTGTAATTGATGTTCAGCATCTCCTTGATGTGTTAACCTTTTCATCAGCTTGGAATGCTAGTACTTTTTGTTTGCCTCCTGATTTACTTTGTTTTAAGCTGTTATTTCTGCATGTGGTGATTATTGGCAGTGTTCCGAGAACAAAGAAATGCAAGAAAAGTTGACTCTCCTAGAGCATCGGTTGGCTTCACTCTCTGGTGATAAAGCATCAATAAACTCTGAACACAACATGTCAGAAGAATATGTGGATGAATTGAAAAAGAAAGTTCAGTCCCAGGTGATCACCAATATACTACAACTTAATAAATCTTGGATGGGCTAAGTGAAAATAACTCTACTTTGGTTGTGGTCATTGTTTTTGTTTCTAGTTGAACTAGGGGTTTTGGTTCAAACATCTCATATGGAAATGGGATTATCACTGTTCTATAGTGTCAAAAACTCATGCAAAAAGTTGATACCAGCTGGTAGTTCTAACTTCTAACAATGTAATTCCAAGTTTTTACTTACAGCTAAGGAACATGCTTTTGTTTTTATCTGAGCAGGAGATTGAGAATGAAAAGCTAAAGATTGGACGGGTTCAGATTTCAGAGGAGAATAGTGGATTGCGGGTGCAAAATCAGAAATTATCCGAAGAAGCTTCTTATGCAAAGGAACTGGCCTCTGCTGCTGCAGTTGAGCTGAAAAATTTAGCTGGTGAAGTGACAAAGCTCTCATTACAGAATGCAAAATTGGAAAAAGAATTGCTGGCTGCTCGAGAATCTGCGCATTCTAGAGGTGCTGGCATGCAATCAGTTAATGGAGTTAACCGCAAGTTTAATGATGGCATAAGACATGGGAGGAAGGGGCGGTTCTCTGGCAGAGGAAATGATTTTTCAGGAATGCATTCTGATGACTTTGAGTCATGGAATCTTGATCCAGATGATTTGAAAAGGGAACTGCAGGCAAGAAAGCAACGCGAAGCAGCACTAGAGGCAGCCTTGGCTGAAAAGGAATTCATTGAAGATGAATACAGGAAAAAGTGTGAAGAGGCGAAAAAAAGGGAGGAGGCTCTGGAAAATGACTTGGCAAACATGTGGGTGCTTGTTGCGAAGTTAAAGAGAGAGGATAGTGCTATCTCTGGGATGAATGCTGATGAAAGGCATAGTGATGGTATAGATCACACTAGTGATCCCAAAACAAATGGTGTTGAAGTTGATCGTAATAGCATCCTGAAAGAGAGAGAAGATTTAGATGCATTACAAGTTGATGAAGAAACTCCCAAGGAAGAGCCCCTAGTTATTCGGTTGAAGGTAAACCTGAATTGTTTGATCCTCTTCTTTTCTGTCCTTTTGTTGTTTTGCTTTGTTTGTTGTATCCATCTGCTGTAATAATTCTTCACTCCCTTCTAAAGTTTAACTTTTGGGGTCATTTGATAAACATCTGTTTGAGGCATGTTTTTACCTTCTACTTCTGGGATATAAATGTCATGTTTGTTCCTGAATCTAGATTGCATTTTTCTGCATGCAGGCACGGATACAAGAGATGAAGGAGAAGGAGCTCAAACAACTGGGAAATGGAGATGCTAATTCTCATGTGTGCAAAGTATGTTTTGAATCACCAACAGCAGCAATTCTTCTCCCCTGTCGACATTTTTGCTGTAAGTCAGTGAAGTTGCCTACATTTGAATTGTTTCTAACCTTTCTGCCCATCATCTGACTGCTGCTGGTTTATTTTTGCAGTGTGTAAATCTTGTTCGCTTGCATGTTCTGAGTGTCCAATTTGTCGCACAAAGATTGCAGATAGGCTTTTTGCATTTACTTGACATTGCAGCTTGCACCCTCCAAATGAAGGTCACGTATACTAGTTCTGCTCTTTTTTTTCCCTTCTAATTTGCTGATAATTTAAGACTATAGGACAAATTTAGGTTCCTTAACACCTTGCCCTATTACGGGACAAGTAGACGTGGAACATGTACATGTACGTAGGAAAATTGAGGACCATCGAAATAAAATACAGGTTGCATTTACTGCTTGTTCAGAGCATTTATGACGAGGCCAGCTATCATTAGCCTAAATGCAGAGGCTATTGGTCCCCCATGGAATGGATCTGCTGATCCTGTGTCCTTGGACTTACATGAGTCTCGCTCATGCAACGGAAATCTCTCTAGCTATCTGGAAAGCAGACTCCTGCTAGTGTAATTCATGTGAAAATAAGGAGATAAATTGACACGCTCCCTGTTTTTCTCCTTTCCCCCGATTGCAGGGCTCTGTGGATGTTTACCTGTTCACTACATCGGTGGAACGGTGGTACAATTCTTTCATTAGTTTACTGTATGTAATTGTCAAAAAGGTATATCAATATATTGTTTCTGAATCTCACCCCTTCTTTGGGGCTGTAAAATAAGACTTGATCAAAGGTAAACAAAGAATCAGTACATTCTAGATGTTGCGTTATTTTTGAACATGCAGCAGAATGTTGTGGTTTATAACGCTGTATAGAAACAATGTATGCTTCCATGAGAAAGTGTCCTTCCCTGTGTATCTGAGCAACGCTGGCTCCTGCTGTATCTTCGTTCTCCATTTTTGTTTCCGAGAGAATCTTGATATTCTAGGTGCTAACTAATGAACCGAGCGATTTAACACTCACTGCTGAATTCATTCATTCAGAACTTGTTCATACTATGCTTGCGATTAGCTTTCATGAAAATTTTCCTGAGAACACTCGAGCGTTACCATTGGCGTTAATCGGGGAAGAAAAGATGACTATAATGGTTTGCGCTTTGCAGTCCTTGTTTCAATGAGATTTTCAAGTTTCACTGTCGTTGTGTTGGGCTTATATCATATTTTAATTCATGCCACTGCATTTTTAATTCCCACTCAATTAATGGATTTAAAAACCTAATTCTGTATGCTTGGATTACATGATATTTGTAGCCTTGAGTAAATCTGTATCTCACTGAATTCATGTCAGAAAATTTTTGAAGGTTGGGGTTGTTAGATAGGTGTTCAGCCTCTTTGGCTGGCTACAGAGAACAAGAATTAGACCGTCCTGCACGCGCTTTTAATTGATTTGGCTGCTGTTTGTACTGCGTAGGATACGACAAAATTTGTAAATTTTTTATTTGAAATTATTTTTTAATTTTTTTTAAAATGGATGAAAATAATAACAGTTATCATATTTTTAAATACTTTAATAAAAACGGTTTGAAAACATATTTAAATAATGTTTTGTTTTTTTATTTAAAATTATTTTTTATGTATTTTTAATGTATTGATATTAAAAATAAATATTAAAAATTTAAAAATATTATTTTAAATATTTTCTACCAAAAAAATATTTTAAAATACAATTATTATGGCATCCTTGAACATCCTAATACAAAATACAAAAATTATATAACTTTATTATTATTTAAAAAATAATTACTGTCACATAACAGAACATCCTAATAAAAAACACAAAAATTACATAACTTCATTATTATTCTATCACAGAAAATTAAGGAACTGCACTGGATTTATGTCTGAAGATTTTATTATTATATCGCAAAATCTTAGAAAAACTAAAAATCAAACACTGAAAAGAAGTGGGCGACCATTGAAAAAACACTGTATAGGGACAACAACAAAAGGGAGATGATGTCTTACAGTTGAAAAACTGAATAAACAAACGTGAAGCATTTCTTCTACTAAAATGCCTGGATTTCTTGATAGATCGGGGGCTGATCTGAGGAACTGTAAAACCATCCTCGCTCCATTCCCAGCGAACCTTCATTTGCTTGCTTCTTTTGACTGATTAAATCCACTGGGTAAACCAGGTAGGGGAATATAACGATGAAGTTGAGGGAAGTGGGGTGTAACTTGAGGGATGGAGAAGCCTAAATCTTCTGTCGAAAAAGAACTCCTGTTGCTTTCAAGATCTTGATCCAGCAATGGAAAAATTAAAAAAGGTCACAAGTCTGCATCAAATTGGGTTACGTTAGGGAAAAGGGTGTAGATGAGTCTTAAAAAAATACAACACCCTAAAAAAACAGGTCTCTCTCTCTAGAAATAGGGTGCACTCCAAACCTTATTGCAACCATTATTGCTAGCAAATGAAGGATCAAGAAAATCATCGATGCGCCAGCCTGGTACTGTCTCTAAATACTCAGATATGCTACTTGTTGAAATTGAACCATTGTCACTAACATGATTTTCATCGAAATTATATGCCGTTGTTGCTGATGCTGTCTCAACTGAAGGAGAGCTGAGGATTTCGTTGGAATTCTTTAGGGATGGCTGATGGTTTCTATTGCTAGTAGTGTTAATGTTTGCGTCAAAGTTATTAGTGGAGGTCGATGATGCTGTGTTCAGAGAAGAAGAAGCAGAGAGCCTTACACCTGTGAGAAGAAACCTGTTGTGTTTCTGAGCATGTTCATTAGCTTTGTGGATTGGAAGGTCACATTCTCTGCATAGAATTGCCCTATCCTCTTGACAAAACAGAAGGGCTCTCCTCTCCTGAAGAAAAATAACCACAAAGACTATATTTCATAACCTCAACAATCATAGTAAGTGAAAAGCAAGTGAAGGATCTAACTGGTAGTACCTGACAGATATCACAGAGAGGGGATTCTTTGAAAGAAGGATGGACTAAAGAGAACCTCGAGTGTTTGCTTGCCAACTTGTTTGCATGGTGAACTCTGTGATCACATCCATCGCAAAGAGCAGCTTCATCCGCGCAACAGAAAACTGTCGCCTCTACATTGTCACACACATCACACCGGATCTTCATTATCATCCTAGTATACCCCCTCTAATATTCTTGGTTGGAGTTTAATGTAAAGATAAATTGTGGTCTTTTGAAATTGACCTTTAAGAGTGAATAAAAGGACACTGACAAAGCTGTTGTGGGAGTATGGGCAATAGGGGAGTGGAAATGGATGAACAGCTAAGCTAAGGGGTCTTGAATGTATATCTGGCTTTTTTAGAGATGAGTTTTCCTTAGAATTTCTCTTTCTATATAGTAAAGAAGATGAGCGCAAGTTGGCTTCTGGGCTATAAAGTTATTGCACAGTTACCTAGAGCTTTCACTCTCATTATCAGTGCTGTCTGAAGTTGGAGGAATGGCTACCGATTTTCATTCACCTTCTATTTATTGATCCAGGCTCCTCTATTCATATTGAATCGGCAGTAAATATATAAATTTACTCCTGTGGGTGGTGGACCAGTGCTAGCTCATGGGAGACCAGCGCTGGTTGCTTGACTTGCATTATCAATATTTTAGTTGATTCAGAATCCTGCCTTTGATTAGAATATTTAGACAGCCTTGATTAGAATCCTGCCTTTTTTGTGAATGAAAAAATCAGTTTGTGTTGATTAAGCTGAACCCGTTGTAATTAGTGGTTACATGTGAAGAAATAACCACACAACCAGCAAGCGTGTAATTTTTATCTCTTCATTTCTGAGCTCCCCGACGGTGCCATCCATGGCACAAGTGTCATCGTCAAATACCCACACCACCAGCATTATGGTGGCAACGCCATGGGAGCATGGAAGATATCCAAAGGGTTGGTGGTTGTATCAAGATAGGTTTCAAGATCTTGTAAACGCAAAAACACTTTGAACCAATCTTTCTTTACATGGAAGGAACCAATTCGACAAGAATTATGAGATATATTGAATCAGGTTTGACCCGTTGTATAGGCGATTTTACTTAACATGTTATCATTTAAATTTCAATTTTTTTTATTAAATTAGATGCAGGTGTGGAAGATTTATTTAAAATCATCATAAAAAATCATATTTAATACTTGAAAACCAATCTAAAAGGACATTTCCGACTAAATTAATAATCCATGTTGTTATTCTATTGTCAAATTGTCTCCGAAGCATAAGCTAAAAGTAGCAGCATATCTTTTGACACAATTCTAAGATTGTTTTTCAAAGTAATTTTTTTAAAATATATTAGAATAATATTTTTTTATATTATAAAATTTATTTTTAATAACCACATCTTAAAATAATTTGCAAATATAAAAAAATATTTTTTAAAAAAAAACACTTTTAAAATAAAAAACAAATGGGTTATTAAAATAATAATAAAAAATGCGCAGGCCCGTATAAATGAAGAATGGTCATAATTTTGAAAACCTCCTCTCAAGGATGAAGGAAGGCAGATGAATCCTCCTCAAGATATTTTTGAGAGCAAAGCCTTCTCGATCCTTGGTGAAATTGAGCACATTTACACCCACCCATACTTGAAGGCAGGCGAAAGGGGTGGTATCGTGTACCTTAGTGATTCTTAAACAACATTATTTGTAAGAAGGAGAACCATCTTACGAGTTCCAAAACAATTGGTGCCACTCATTGACCTACGGCGTTCCCGGCAAAAGTCAACGATTACCATGCGACATAACAAATTATCTATCTGAGTTGCCCTATCGATCAATATTAAGTTGTGCTTATCATGGATAAGCTTGTTCTCATACGTGCGTACGTTTCACTTAAGCCCTTGGTTATTTTTGCAGTATTTCGTGATTTATTATTAGTTGTAAAAAAAAAAAAAAACCTAAAATGAAATAATTGTCACTCTAGCTCCTTCTCTCTCTCTTCAGCAACTCCAATGAAATTGCTAAATCATCAGGTAAAATGGCTTTTCTCAAATGCTTTTTATATTAAAAAAAAAAAAAAAACAGAAGCTAGAACCTGGAGAAGTAACATCAGATGATGATGGATACCTGTGTAGCTAACAGTATCCAGACCGAACATACGTTGATTTCCAAGATGTGTTTGTGTTTGTGGTTTTGTTTTTTCTTTGTTGATTTCCCCTCCCCTCCGACACGGTGTATAGATTTCTTCCCAGTTATCTCAGAACATCGGATCTCGCTAAGATAAGAAAAAAAGCCAACCTCCGTTCTCTCTCTCCTTTTTTGATGACCCTCCACTGATGATTGATGTGCCATGAAGCTGAGATTCATGTATTTTCTGATCTTACTAGCAACCATATTTGTGACCTTAATTACAAGTGAAGATCCATAATGTACAATAATTAAGATTTTTTCCATCAATATTGTCCAAAGCTCGAATGTTGACTGGGGTTGATGCCAAGGGAAAAGCAAACGATTGAATATCAGAAGCCAGATATTTGGAGGAAAGGTTGCTTGAACATTTAATTTTGACTTTATCGTGCCCTAACTTCTCAAGCCAGATATAATTAACCATTTAGCATTTAGCATTTGCCTTTGAAGATACTCTTTACAGAGTGTAGGGTCATTGCTTGCATCGGTTATTTACGCCTTGACTATTTTTTATTTTTGTTTTGAAGGTAACCCTTTTACATCAAAGATTAAAGCCAATCCCTTCATTTTCTCCCCCTTTCTAACAGGATCATTCATTGACCAGATGCACGTTCTAATGAAGTGGGAAACCAGAAAATTATACAGGTATTACTTAACAATTGATGGAGGAGACCACCGCTAGCTAGAGGACAAATAACACTTTTTCATGGCCCGGATATGGATGATCTTTTGAGCATCTTTGAACAATAACATTGCAATTGGCGATCTTGAAAGGGGCATGGAGATAAGGAAGGAACATTACTCTTTCAATTATTGGATGCCTAGGAGTCCCGGTACAAACACTTATGGGTCTTTTCGAAAAGTTCTAAGAGAATCACGTGGAAACACCTACTCTTTTGAATATTCTTTTAATCCTGGGATGTATAGCTAAATTAATTAATTTTTAAATTTATGTTTTAGAAATCAGTCTCATGAATTTTAAAAATATTGAAAGTTTATATAATAATTAACTTTAAAATCTATAGAATTAGTTAAAATACCCGCAGGCTAGCCTGAAAACTCATATTAATTAAAAAAATTAGCATTGAAATATAAAAAGATAATGCCTTCAAAACCCTTTCTTGAACCTTAAGTAGGTGATTGTAAAAATTAAATGATGAATCTTGATGCTATATATTTGCAACTCATAATGAGTCCCATCATTTTATATATTAGTTTTAATATCTTATCATCTTACACGAGATATCATTTTTTTTGATAATTTTTATGTATATAGGTTATTTATATTTAAATTAATATAATTTTAAGAAATCTTTTTAACTAAGATATAATATATATAAATATATGTTTATTCTTGTTGTTTTTCTTTCAAGATTATATTACATGCTATTGCGAGCTAAAAATATAGTTGATAAGAAAAATTCATATTCCTAGGAAATTGGTATGCTTGAGATTCAATTTTATAAGTTATTAAAAACTTGTATTGATTCCAATTATATATGATTTTTCTTTTCACTTAAAAATTAGGTATAGCCAAACCATATGAAGCCATTATATTGTATAATTTATTTTTTATTTACCATGCTATTTATCTATGTTTTAAATCCTTAACATGACTTATAAGGTAAAAAATCTTGAAGGTTATGTTGTCAACCTGTTAGCTGCTCTTTTGATGTAGTTTGTTTTAAATCCTTAACATGACTTATAAGGATGTTGTCAACCTGTTAGCTGCTCCTCTTATGTAGTCTTCATATAAATTCTATTTTAATTGAAGAAAAAAAAATTAGAAAATAAATGGCTTGTAGCATTACTGAGATCGAGACTGCATTGATTGCTATACACACATACCATATACTTGTATAAATGATTTGGATACTGATGAGGTCCCATTATATATGTGGGCTTAAAGGTCAGACTTGGATCCAAGATAAAGTCATTAATCTCTTAGTTCTAATAATATGATCAATTCTTTCAAATATTCATGTCTCATTAGACATAATATCTTTGTTTTATAGTCCCATCATAATAAGATATTTTTTATCCAATAGGAGGTGTCTAAGCTCAGCTTTTGGCCACGCCCAATAAAGATGGGTCTGACAACTTGCCAGACCTGTAAATGGTTGGGCTCAGCACTTGGATGTGTTTAAGAATAATGGGTCCAACGACTTATCAGACCTATAGGCATCTAGGCTCAACACTTGGCTGAGCCCACAGATGATGGGTCATAACCTTTTTATGGTTAGCTCTTTGGAGAGTAACTTCAAACTAAATAACAAACAAAAAGTAATAAATACCGATCTATCAGTAACCCTCCCAAGTCGTTAGGTATTATATGTGAAGATTTTGAAAAGTCTTTGCCCGTAGCAGGTGAGACCCTTTTTATCTTTCCCATAAAATCTTTATTCGTCTCTTATAACACTTAGGGATTCTCAAGTCCATATAACTTCTTTTTATGGCTGAGAGGTTTATCTTAGGGAATGAAACTAGGGCTAACACTTAATGTAGCACTTGAGTAGCCTTTTCAAGACATCCAGTGACACATAAAGTTTTTTCATCTAATAGTAGGGATGCATGAGTTTTTTCTTTATAACCCCAACCTTTCTTACTTTTTCCTTTACTTTTACTTTGTTAGATTTGTTAAAAAGATTAAATAAAAAACTACTTTTCATAAAAAATACCTTAAGTCACATCTTCATTGACCTGAGGAGTTCAGGTTTTAGCCAAAACCTGAAAAAAGCAACAAGAGATATAGCTCTTTATATTAGGTTCCAAGGTTTAGGGAGATGAAATATTGGCGTTGTCCTCTGTCGGAGAGAAGATATGATCCTCTCATAAGGGCCCATTTACTTATTCTAATAGAGATGCTCAAGAAATAGAGGTTTCCTAAGACCTCTAAGGAGGATGTCTTCAACAATATATATGATGTGGACATGAAAATCATGACTAACCAACAACATGGTGAGTATGTTGCCCAAATGCCTCTCCCTAATGAGCGTATCAATAAACTAACCCTAGGAACCTCTAGATCTTTTCAAAATCACTGCCCCTTTTACATGTATAAGATGAGATATTTTTTTCCTTTCCAGGGATTTATGAGGGATATGTTTATCTATAACTAGCTTGGCCTGAACCAGTTGTATCCTAAATGGTGGATATTTATATTCGCTTTTGAAAATTTTTATAGAATGGTTGGGCTCGAGCTCACTGTAAATGTCTTCAAGAGTTGTTACCAATTTATCACCAACATTGAAGATGACAATAACATGCATTGGTTCTTCATCCTTGCTAATAGAAGAAATGATGCTATAAAGAACACGATGACTTAGAAACCCTACCATGCCAAGAAATGAAAGGGAGATTGGTTGATCATAAGATATACATAAGTTGTCAATCCCCGGGAAAGAATATACCAAATATAGGGTTGTTCCTCTTATTAAAAGACTCCTCCCTACGAGGTAAACAATATGCCTCGTCTAAGCTCGAACGCGAAAAAAAACTACACTGTATTAGATTCATCCAAAATCAATTATGAAGTTAACAAAATATCCATGGGATATTACTAGGCTATTTTGCAAATTATAGAGTTATCCTACTATATTGTCTTTTTTTTTTTAGCCTATTTTGAAATCCAACATTCCTTTTTACCTATATGGTTGATAGTTTATGAGGAGGAGATGCACCATAAAAGCTTCTTATCAAGATTCTGCCCACAGAGTCTCCATACTAGGCCATTGGTGAAGATATAGGTGAAGAAATAAGGAAAGGCTCCCCCTTCTTATTAAGGAGTTCCCAGCCCTTGAAGGCCCTATCTCTATGAAGAGAAATAAGGAAAGGCTCCCCCTTCTTATTGAGGAGTTCCCAGCCCTTGAAGGCCATATCTCTATGAAGACACCATTGAGGGTCGCAACCCCTATGAAAGCTAGTGGTCATAATCCTCTCTTATCTAGGGAAGAAAAGAGTTTGACCCCTTTTATAGTGATGAAGGGTGCCGCCAACTGTTTTAAAATAATAAGAGTTTTTGAGCTCCATGTTTGGCTAAACCCATAAATGATGGGTATGGAAACTTATTAGATCCATAGGCATTCTAGAAATATTCATTTGAGAATTAAAAAATAATTTGTGGTCTACCGAATTATATTATTTGGTTAAATCAATTTTTATACTTTATTTTTATAAATTAAACTTTCTATTTTTAGTTTGTAAATAAACTATCGTTTCATTGTAAACTATCAATACAACAAGCATTTCTGCAAACCTTCATTAGCTTTTTGTATAAAGAGAATGCTTAAGGTTACAAAGACACAAATGGCTAACATATCAAAAGAGAAAAGTAGCCATGGAGTTGAGTTTATGTTCACACACTTTCTATTATATTGTATATGGTTGTTAATGGTTTTATGCCATAGAATTCATGATTCTTAGCACTATTTTAAAATCTGATACATGCCTTCTTGAATTCAAGGGATGTAGTAAAGTGCAGTGGTGGCTCTGGCTCCTTAAAATTTAAAAACATCTTCCCCCTCCCCAATGGTAATATAGCAAGCATGGTTCGTTCTCTTTAGAGAATTTCAATTTAATCCTAGGAAAAGTGAAAAATCAATGTGTTTTATCCTACAAGACTCTTCCTTCCTAGCAACTTTAACCCTCTTGAGATATAAAATTGGTTCTGACAATACATTCGGTCCTGTTTCTTTTAAGAAATAATATTCTGACCTAAAGAAATTTGTATATTTTTTTATCCATAAATAAAGATATACATCTTGATGCATTGAGTATTTTGTCCTAACCTCTCAGGAGTAAGACCAGTGCCATGCCCCCTTTGGTTTTACTTTCTCTGTGTTTCCTTGCAAGAACATTGCAATTATTTTGATTCAAGCAAGCATAGACTCTCTCCTTATTTTCTTTAAATGGTTAAAAATAATTTTACAATATTTTTCCTAGATCGAAACTTTCTTCTTCCAGCAGTCGGATCATGGACTTGTATCTAGACATCGGAATGGACGCACGCGCTGGTGATCTAAGTTTGGCCCATTCAACACAAACCCCAGTGTTAAAACCTGGAAACAAAAGGATCAAACCTAAACAGAGTCCAAATTATCGGATTTCTCACAAGCACGGCCCAGGCTAAAAAATCCTTCCATTTTGACCATCGCCACTCATCACTAACACGGCCACTCAATATCGAAGATGTGGTCACCAAACTGAACGGTTGTTAGTTGTTAGTGGCTCCTCCCGCCATTGTCTGTACAGCAAGATGGCCACACTGTTTATTGTTCTGCCAAAATTTCCACTCGTCAGTTCTCTCTTTTCCTCTCCAAGTCATTACCAGGTAAGAAACTTACTTTCATATGCACGACTCTGTTCGTGTAGTTCTTGCTTATTTTTTCTTTTGGTGTTTCAGGGATGGAGAGTTAGGCCTTTCACTGTGCAGAAGCTCAACCCATTTTTATCAAAATCTCTAACAGAGTCAAAGAAGAGGTAATCATCCCATGATTAATACTTTCATCACATGCTTTAGCTATCTTATCATTTTTTTCTGCGCATATTGGGTTATAAAGTGATTAGGGGCATGTTTTACTTTTGTTGATGAGCCAAGTGATAATTTTTTTCTGCGCATATTGGGTTATAAAGTGATTAGGGGCATGTTTTACTTTTGTTGATGCGCATATTCATGAGCCAAGTGATCGGGTTTTTGCTGGACTTGTTAAATTATGTTTTTAATGGGTTTGACATGCGACAAGGAAAAGAAAAATAAGGATTTGGATTAGGAGATGGGGAAAGCCCAAGAATTTGTTTGGATTTGAAATGCACTAGGCTGAGCACTGTGGATTCACTTCTGGTTATATGGGAGTTAGAGTTGGTTAGGTGAGAATTAAGGTCTCAAATACTAATTTATTATTTTCCAAACCATTTGTTCTAATTTTACAGTTTCATATTTTTGCTTTTAAAAATGGAGCTATTGATAGTGAAATGTTGTATTTGGGTCAAATAAACAGGAGAACTTTAATCTGTGCAGTCAATCAAGATCCAGAGGAATCATTTAAAAAGACTGTAGAAGTGGATCGGCTAATAGATATGCTGAGAGATGCAAATCCAAGAGAAGTAAACAAACTTGTTTGTAGTTTGCGTTTTATAAGTTTTCACTCACGGGATCCACATTTGTTAACTTATTCTTGTTCCATTTTCTTCCATGTGAACCAGCTGCAGAAGCTTGTTGTTGAAAATGTCCTCGCTTTCAATGAGGGCTTTTGGATACGACTTGCTGCTAGAACTGATACCTGTAAATCAGAGGATGATAAAGCATGTTTTTGACTGGCTTAATTTTAGTTTATTTATGATGTTTATGAGGATGACTTGATTCCGGCTCATATATAGCTAAGAATTTCTTCGGCATTATTTATATCTTCGCAGAAAGATTACGAGGAGTTGGCAATATCTGTGATGAGCATAGTGGATTGTCTGGTCCATAAGACCAATGTAAATCACCCCCTCCCTCTCATAAGCGGTTTTTTTTTTTTAATTCCTTTATTGTTTCACCTATAACAGTTTCATCATTGCCTTCTCATCTCTATATTCTTCTTTTTACTCTGTAGGAAAAGATTGAGTCAGCCACTGATATTCTCAAGGAAATTTTAAAACCTATAGTTGATGGAGAGGAAGAGATTCACTGGCCTCCTACAGATCCAGAGGCCCTCAGACTAATGGAGAAAGTAAGTTTTTGCGTCAGTTTGATTGTAAATTTTCCCTTCTTCTCATTCAAAAATTATCAATGTTTTTACAGCTAACTCTTAAAGTCTCTTTTATGTCCTGCTACATATTTTGCATTAAAAAAATAAAAATAAAAATAAAAATAAAAATGAAGCTCTATAGTTATCAGTTTTTCATTCCCTGTGCTTACAAATATTTACGGCTAACTCTTAAAGATTCTTTGAATAGCTTATTGTTACATCACTTGAATGTCAGGTTCCTATAAAAACCTTTGATGGGTAGGATAATAGGCATTGTTTGCATAGAAGAATGGAATGTGAAAAAGTCTTTCCATTAGAAATAAGATGGAACTCTAACGTTCATGAATCCATGATAGGTTTAAAAAACTAAGAAAGGGCTTGTTAAGTTTACAGAATATAGACTCTCAAATGTCTAGTCGTTAATTTGAGTCCCTACTTGGATTGATCCCTTGACATTTGTTGAGTTCCTATATTGGGGCTGATGAACATTCGGAAATTGATTCCACCAGAAAAGAAGCATCTCTGGGGGATTAGTTATCAAATTCTAACAAGATTTTCACGAATTTTTATTCTGAACTATCCCCTCATGCATGGAAAGAAAGAAGCAAACAACTTAAATGGAATTTCTTTTGCTCTCTCTTTCCCTCGTGTGTTTCCTGTGTTGGATTGCCCTTGGTTTTGTTGAATTCAAATAGCAGCATAGGAGAAGCAAAAATATAACGTTGTGTGATTGTTAATGGTTTCATTCACTTGTGTTGAACTTATGCAACTGTCTATAAATTCATTCATCAGGATATAATTCAGAGGGAGCAAGAAGGGCAACTAGATGAAGGGTTCCTTGCAGAAGTTAGTGCACAACTACGACAAGTGAGTGCTTGCTGTTCTTATGGTACATATCATCCTAGTGTGTTGATCATCAAACTAATCTTGCAAATAAGTTTAGTTGAAGTGATCTTGGGTGCTTGTTAGATGGGATGAGGGTCGATGTGGGATATTCTTATATGATTTTATTACCCCAGTATTTAAATGCTGATACAAGTTTTTCTTTAAACACGGGCGAGTAATTCATTTTCTGCTCATCGGTAGGCAAAAGAAGATGGGGACAAGCCAGGGCTCGAGGCCATGTTGCAAAAGGTTCTGCAACTCTATGCTTCCAGTATTCTCTCCAAGCGGAGTTATGCGAAGAAAGGTAATTATATTGTGGTACTTTATTCCATTACTTTGAAATTATGTCTTAAAAGATGATAGGTCATTACAAAATTGAAAAATGTTGTTGGTCACCATGCCAAGATTTATAAAATGTCTTGAAATAAAGCCCACTGCTCGAGGCCATGTGAAACTAAATTCTTATAGCTTGATTTGAGTTTAGCTTGAGTGATGTTGTTGGTCTTTCAAAGTATTAGGTTGTTCCCACTTTAATTATCTTATATTGAGAGGTGGATCTCTGAGATTATAGTTTTTTTATTGAGAATAGTCTCCCAAATTTTATTCCAAAGTTTGATTACGTCTGTTTATCAGGAATTTAAAATTTGTTTGCCATAGATCTTCATTTAACACATCTCTTCTCCATTGCCCTCCTTTGGAACAATCCTCACTTCCATGTTCTTGCTGTCTGCATTAGAGTACAAGTTGGACGCCTTTAACAACTAGCATTATTAAAGAGTAATATAAATCTTTTCTTGAAACCTTACCTAATTGCTTAAACTTTTGGGTTAAGATGGTTCTATGATCTAGTATCAGAACCTTGTTAATTAATCGATTACGAGTTTGAATCGCACTACCCTCATTTTATTTGATAAAATTAACAGCATAATATAGTGTGGATCTGTGTAAGTTTCAAGCTGAAAAAGCTTTTAATTGGTGGTGTGTTAAAAAATAATTTCTATCATATCTTAGCACCTTATCTAATAGCTAAAGCTTTTGAATTAGTAAAAGATTATTTGACAGGAATTTGTCTATGTTTGTGGCGCAGAAGATGAAGTTTTGAAGGCTGAGCAGTTTCTGGAGACTATAATCAAAGGTGCTCTTTTCCTTGACAACTGTGCTTTCGAGAATAAAAATGAGCCATAAATATAGATTGTTGCTGCAACACAGATACGCATAGGCATATAAAATTTGATCTCGGATAGCTTAGGCATGCAAACATCTACCTGATGTATTGATCCTTGGATAAATGTTAAACCTGCCTCGGCATTGAATCAAGTTTCTAGACCATTAAAAGCTTAGTCTAGGATTCTTTGGGTCATTTGATAAGTATCCAGACTCACTTATACATATGTTTGCTGCAGCTCCCGAAGAAGAATGGAACAAGTTTTTGCTCAATGGAATGACAGTTGGCAAAGGGGAAATTTCTCCAGAGGAACTCTATGCTGTCATTAAGAAACGAATCGAGAGGACATTGATCCGGACAGTAATAAAACCTTCTACCTTGGATTTTATTCACTTGTATTTTTGTTGTTCAGTATTCCCTACAACTGGACGCCACACCACATGCCACTGTCTGCTACGACTCATACACAGGCACATCCATTTCTATATACTTCCCCTTTTCTCACACCTTCTCTATCACTTGTAGGAAGGAGGTTCGTACCAGCAACGCATTCTCACCGAGTATCTTAAGGGTATCCAGTCAAGAGCAGAAGAGATTGTCCAAGTGCTTCAGGGAAAGCCATGATAGCCCAAATACACGTCTGAGTATAGATTCCGTATTTGTAAACCATTGATAGCGCACAAACTTGGAAAGAATCTGTTCCTTCAATCTGAAACAGGAAAAAGGCTACCACATAGCAATTGAAAAAGGAGATGCGTAGTATCTGCAGTTCTTATTGTGCGCAAAAAAGAGCCAATGCGCAATGAATTCTATCCTTTTTGTGCCAATGGTTTTAGGTTCACATTTTATTTCAATGGAGGCCAATGTACTGCCAGCCCACCGGGTTAACACAGTCAACCTCCTTTTGACAGCTAGAAGTCTGCTTCAGATAAATGACATGGATATGATTGCAGAGGCATTGCCAGAGCTTCTCTGGCTAAGTTTTTGTTAATGACTTGTCATTCGTTATGGTATGCGAGTGCCTTGATCAGATCATTCCATTTTGACGTTGTTGTGTGCAATCTTGATATCGGAGACATGGTGTAAATTATATTTTTTAAAAATTTTAAAAATATTAATACCTAAATCTTGATTTAAATCGATCTGATAATATATTTACCAAGTGAAACCGTTGAAAAAATAAAATAAGGAAAAAATAATTTTTAATAAGTATAATTTATCTGAATTATCCAGTAATTCAGAGTTAACTTGATGACGTAGATTTATATATACATACATATATATATATATATATATATATATATATATATTTAAATCTACAGCTATGTTTTGACAGAACAGTTATAAAGAAAGATGCATGAATTCCAAAAAAGAACCACACACTAACAAACAAAATAGTGTTCAAAAAGCGCAGGGAAAGAATGCTAAGGTAATGCGCGCCTATAAAGATTACTTTGCTCCCACTTAACGTTTGCCAGTCACAACCTGTATCTTTGATGGTCACTAAAATTGATTTTCCAGTGGTTTAAGGAACGATGATCGCAAGGATGAGGCTGTGAATAACAGCTTTTTCCCTCCATCTTTTTTTTTTTTTTTCTCGTTGAAAAGGCAAATATAACAGTGCTCGATCAAGTGCCACGCAGACAACTTTCTAAATGAATGACATGTTTTAGTTGAGGTTAGGTTATTTTTGAAAATATTTTTATTAAAAAATTATATTAAATTTTTTAATTTTTAAAAATTAATTTTGATATAAATACATTAAAAAATTGAAAATAAAAAATAAGTTAAAATAACAAAATTTAAATTTTTTTAAAATACTTTTAAAACATAAAACAAACGAGTTAAAAATATATAAAAATAATATTTTTTATTTTTAAAAAATAATTTATAGTACTAGTGATTTAAAATATTTATAAATATTAAAAAATTAATTTAAAATAAAAATTATTTTTTTGTTAATTTTAAAAAAATTAATTTTGATATAGTATAACAAAAAAAGCTGAAAATACAAAAAAATAATTTAAAATAAAAAGATAAAAATATTTAAATTTTTAAAAAAACTTTTAAAACATAAAAGTTCTAAATATATAAAAATAATATTTTTTAAAATTTTTTGTAATAATAACAATTTAAAATGATCTATAAAAATTTAAAAATTAATTTTAAATAAAAAATTAAAATTTTTTAAAATACAGATATAAACTAGTTATAAATACACGCTGTAATAAGTCAACAAAATTATCTGGCAGGGGAGTCGGTCAAGACTGGGATTACAGGTGGCAGGACAGAGTCCTTTCCCTTGCTCGTCCCACACTTGAAATAGCGGGGATAAAGGTCTTGGGAATTGGAGCGTGTTCGTCACCGAGCCTCCGCGGCTTGCTCGCAAGATAAGCCGTCCTGTCAGGTTGAGAGGGGACCCGCTACTTACCGGGTAAGTAATTAAAAATCTCTTTTCACAATAAAATAAAACCTTTTTAACGGCATACCCAGCTGAGCGTGTGATGGAGGTGGAGTGTTTTTTATTTGTAAATATATTAAAATAATAATAATATCTTTTATTTTAAATTTATTTTTGATATTATTAAATTAAAATATTAAAACATAATTTAAAATTAAGTAAATATTAAATAAAAAACACGATTAAAACTTCGACTCTTCAAGATGAACCTTCCTATTTTATTAAATAATTTTTATTCAAATTATTAAATAAAAAGTGAAAAGGGAATAAAGAAATTCACTTTCTCTTCTTTTCTTTTTTATCATACCTTTCTTAAATCTTAAGTAGTTGGCGTGCAATCAAAACCCTGCATTTTCAGGACGAAGATTAACCGTGAAGTTGGATCACTGTCGAATATGCCTCACGTGGCAACAAAAAAATAAATATATAAAAAAAGACAACCATATTTCAATCCACGTGGCTCACATTCATTGGTAACAATACGTGGTTTAACGGCACCAAACTGTTGTCATTTGATCCCCTACGACGTCTACATAGAGTAGAGGACTCGCACCCAGATCCTTCGAGGAAGGGGGGGAAGACACAGCACGCAATCAAAGATGGCAAAGAAATCCATCACCATGAAACCAATCTTTCAAGAGCACGATGCTGTTTTCTTAGATGAAGCTAATGATTTCTCTAACTGGGAACTCATTAACGAATCTGATGCTGAAGACTCAGATACTGATTCTTTACAAAGTCTTGAAAATGGCTTTGTTTCTTGGTCTTCACCAAGATCACCGAAGACAAGCCAAGAAATAGTAGCCCAGGACACTCAACAAGACCGAGATGTTGTCTTTCATTTCAACTCTCATGATCATCAGATTGATGATGACGATGGTGATGTTTATCGTGGGAGGCCTATATTGTTTCCCGCTGCTAGGATTCAGTACGTTGATTTTGATGATGAAGAGGATGATGATGATGGGTTTGGGTTAAATGATGAGCTAGTGCCATGGACTGTGAGTGGGAAGTTAGGGAGGCAAAGGATTAGGAAGTTAGGCAAAAGGGTATTTCCTAAGATGAGTAATTCGAAGAGGAGTCCTTTTCTTCATTTGAAGCCAGGGTGTGTTCATGGAAAGCATGGGTTGGGCTTGAAGGCTTAGCAGAGGAAGAGATTGAAGGTAAAATAGTGGTGGGGGTGGAAAACGATGGGAACTTGGAATTTGGTACCGTGTAAAGAATTGAACTTTGGAGGTGGCTGGTTAGATGTAATTAGTGGAATTTGAGGCTTATTGCCTTTTATTTTTTAACCTAGGTTATGCTGATTGGAAATGACTTGTGTGGATGTTATTATCATTTTAATCCTCATTGATATTAATTTATCTTACAGTGTTGATGAGTTTTATGGCTTATATCTGTGTATGTGTGCGGGTTGAATTGGTTGAGTGCAAGTGGGAGAATTGGGGGAATGAGTGTGGGATAGTAAAGTGCAGATTTCAAATGAACCCATCTAATTGTTTTTATCAAGTTCTCTTTGTATGAATTGTAGATGTCTTGATGACAATTTTTGTTTTGGGATTAAAATACTAGTGGTGGAGGTTTAATTAAAGAATTGCATGAAAAATTGGATCTTAAAATGGGTTCATGTCGGATCATGATTTGGTTAGATGTTTATCACTGCAGTTGAACTGTGGACGTTGGTGATTTGTTTCTAGACTAATCTATTATGAAGTTTCTCACTTTTTCTTAAAAGAAAATAAAACTACTTGCTTATATTTGTCTATTGCTTGTTAACTAATTGTCTAAAGTGGTGTGTGCTGTGCTGTGGTTCTGTGTGATTGAATAATTTTGGGTGTCGGTTGGATGCTTTTGGGGGGATATGTTTTTTTTTCTCATGTGAGACTTTGAAGTTCAGGCACAAATGAATAGTGATAAGTCCTAAGGTGGGATCTGTGAAATCGATCTGGGTTTATCAGGTCTGCTGATTGGATGTGGGTGTTATTATCATCTTAATGTTGCTTGATGTTATTCTTAGTGTTCATGATTTTCATGTAGTTTACTGTGCGTGTATTTGGTTGGAATTTGGGGAATTTGTAGAGATAAGGGTGGGTGTTATTGCAAAGTGGAGCACTTGAGAGAGACCCTCTTAATCAGTTTTTGTGTGTGTGGATCGTGGGTGTCGGCAACCTTTTTTTGATATTCAAACACATCGTTGGAGGTTAAACTGGGTAGATTTTTGAAGGAATTGCTTGAAAGGATCTGATTATGAAATGGATGCTCGGTAGATCTTAATTTGACAGTAGTCAAACGGAGGATGCTTTATCATTTATTTTTAGGTTAATCTACATGGACTCACATTGTGCAGTTAGCACATTTATTGTGATATTTATATTGATTTTCAAGGTGATTTCTGTATCTACTTCGCCGTAAGGTGGATGTTATTTATCACTTTTGGGGAAAACTGTGGTGAATTGACAGTGAGATATTTTGAAGCTGAGGTTTAGATGAACAGTTGCTCGTCTTATGGACTGAGTTTCGATTTTTTTGAGATGATTGCTGTTCTGTTGCAAAAAATTGTTGTTTTTATTGCTTGGTTTCGGGAATGGTTTGCTTGAACTTCTCTCGGAAGCAGGCACTTTAGCACTCACCTCTTTTCAACTGCACTACATGAATCTTTGATAAATCATTATCTTGTGCAAGATTTGGTTTGCTTACCCTGTTTCTTCGGATTCGAGTTCTAGAGACTAGTAGTCTTGTTCCTTTCATTATCGTCTGTCCTGTTTTCTTCCATCTTGTTTGACTTGTTCTCACTCACACTGTCCACTCTTCCGCAACCTTGACACATTTTTATTTCCGCGGCCCCTCATCCATGATGAACCATTGCTATCTTTGTCATTATTCTAATGAAAACCACACAATCTTTTTCTTTGCCATGAACCACAACCATATCTATCATAATAGGGACAAAACGTATCATCTGGCACCGAGTGCCATATCATTTCTATTTCAGCCCCCATTCCACCAACGTTCCATTTTGTCCCCCTGGGCTGTCTGCTTCATTGAGAGAGAGCACTGCTTTCTTTAAATGCCGAATTTAACTAGTAGGGGCCTTTTCAAGTGCTCAAAAAAGGGTTGCTTTCCCTTTCTTTTTGTGTGCTGAATGGGTAGCTTTCATTGGCGAACCTCCTCGTCCTTGCTTTCTAGCAATGGAGAGGGCGAAGGAAACTTTCTTTTTGTGAATTATTTGAAGTGCACCCATTTTTTGTGTGCTGAATGGGTAGCTTTCATTGGCGAACCTCCTCGTCCTTGCTTTCTAGCAATGGAGAGGGCGAAGAAAACTTTCTTTTTGTGAATTATTTGAAGTGCACCCATTTTTTTCCTTCTGTGCTTTTATCGCTGCTCCAAGGGACCATGTATATGAGCAATAAAATCAGGAGAAAGGAAAATACAGTAAACACCGTGTTTTTTCTTGACCCCCTGTTCTCTGTTTATCCCAGTTTGGTGTTCGCTACTGTGGAGGGGGCGCCTTGTCTTGTTTAAACAGTTCATGAACAGTGCTAGACAACTGGTCAACAGTTCACTAAGTAAAGCTATCATAGCTCAGGCATTTGGAACAAGGTCTAGGTGTCCTCCTTTTCAACTGTGAATGTTTCTGCTGACTTGAGCAAAATCAAGCCCCTCCAGCTAGTTTGATCTATTGTACTGAAGGCTTCAATTCTATTTGGAAGCAATGGCTTGAGAGCAATCCTCTTTGAGCTTTTAGCCCACTAGCTTGTCACCCAGCAAGTTGAATAGGCTCGGCTTAGCTCAAACTGTATCTAGTCTGGAAACGTCAAGGTTCAAGAGTCATTTCGGCATGCAATTGTCTATGCTTTTGATCCTTGAACTATAGGGCGAAAAGAAAAACCCTTTACCCTGATCTAGAATCTAGAGGATATCGGTTCCCGTCTCACTGAAACATGGCTTTGAGACTCATGTTTTTTCTCCTACTGTGAGCAAATTTGTCATTAAAAGTTTAGACGGGGAAAGTACTTGTGATGCTTGGCAACGGTGAATGGAATAGAGAGAACGAGAGTGAAGTTCTTTTTGTTGTATGGATTTGGTTGAAATGAATAGAATGAGAAGGGAAATGAAAAGTGATAACAATAATGATTTTTTTTTTCAAAGAGAATGATATGGTTATATTCATTGTATATTAATTATTTTTATCATCATTAATATCTCAATTATTATTTTTTTTTCAAAAAAGTTAAATTATTAATATTGTTATTGTAATAAATTATTGTATCGTTCATTACTCTTCAATTATCTTTCAACTTCTCTTTAACCATCACCATCAGAGCCATCCGTAGCATGGCATTAATGTATTTTTTAAATACATTATTATTATGTTATAATATTATTATCATCCCACCATTTATTCCCCTTTTCTACTCCGGCATCGTATAATTTTTATAAATATCACTATTGATTAAATTATTATTTATTTTCATTTTAAGAATAAGGTATTAAAAACATTAAATTTTGTTTTGATTTCTTGATATTAGTATTTCAAATATAGTTTTAGAATTATAATATCAGACCTTTGATTTATAATTAAAATAAACAAGAGGGCAACAAAAAAAAAACAATTTCTCTGCTAATTTCATTTGTGTGTCATCGTATCATCTTTAATAGAGTCTTTTCATTTGAGAAACAAAGAGATATATTGTCTGTGTGTTGTTGTGTGTGTCATCGTATCATCTTTAATAGAGTTTTTTCATTTGAGAAACAAAGAGATGTCTTGTCTGTGTGCTATTGTGTGTGTGCTGTTATGGGCTTAGAAAATAAATATATTTAATAATATTATAATTATAAATCAGTGCTAGATAAATAATAAAAACTAAAAATATGATAGAGTCAATATTTCATGATGAAAAAAAAATGTGTTGGTAATCAAAAACTTAGAGAATAAACAAAATGATTTGTAGCAATCTATAATATTTTTGAAGGAAAGATACATTGTTTTGCTATATGATTTAACTTTTTTATAAATAAAAAGAAAAAAATTACAATGCTAAATTCTCTATCAACTTAATATTAAAAAAAAACCAACAAAGATAATTTTGGAAAAATCCATGAGGAAAAACGTTATAGCAATTGACAATGTTTTTTAAGGAAAACTACAGTATTTTTTCCAATAAAATAAGATAAAAAACCATTTAAAGAAATACTGTAGCAATCCATAGTATTGTGTGAGAAAAATTACAACGCTTTTCCTACACGATTTAGTTTTATTGTAATTATAATTTTTAACCAACTCAATATTAAAAAAAATCGAGAAAGATAATTTTGGAAAAAGTTATAAAAAAATCATATGGAAAACACTGCAACAATTCACAGTGTTTTAAAAAAATAAAATTATAAAGTTAAATTCTTAATCAACTCAATATTAAAAAAATCAAATCGACAAAAACAATTTTACAAAAAAAATAACAAAAAAAAGAGAAAAAAATCATGTTGGAAACACTATAGTAACTCATAGTGTTTTATAATGAAAGCTACAGTGCTTCCCTACATGATTTAGACTTATTTGTAATGACTTATAACTGTAGTTCTTAACAATGTTTTGTGAGGAAAGTTACGGTGTTTTCTCTACATGATTAAGTTTTATTATAAAGTTAAATTCTAACCAGCTTAATATTTTAAAAAATAAAATTAAGGAAGATAATTTTGAAAAAAAATATTACAAAAAAAGAAAACACAAAAGAAACTAGAAAAAAACTATATGCGAGGAAAAACTGTATG